CTAATTATAGTAATAATGGACTCCTATACAGCTGCTGACATTGAGCTCATGTCAATTCTAACGGCTAACATTGAGAATAATGGGAATCTCAGAATATTTAATTGTGCTCATGCAAAACCTATACCTAGACCAAGAAGATGTCATCTGAACAGAGCAAGAAAATCAAGAAAAGTTGTGTCAGGGCTGTGTCCTTTCTCCATATCTATTCAATCTGTTATGTGCCATTGAGTCAGAACCGACCCACAGCTAACCCTCCAGGGGGTTTTCAGAAGGAGTAAATGGCAGGGAGGATACTGCCCATCTTTTTCCCATGGAACAGCTGGTGGATTCAAATTGCATACTCTGGGTTGGCAGTGCAGCTTTTTGCCCCGAGACCACCAGACCTCCCTGTTGCCAAGCAAATAATTTGAGAGGCTGGACTTTATGAAGAGTGGCATCAGGATTGGAGACTCATTAACAACCCGTGTTACACAAATGACACAACCTTGTTGCCAACACTGACTTGAAATACTTGAATTGTATCAAAGATTACAACCTTCAATATCTATTACATCTCAACATCAAGACAAAAATCCTCACCACTGGGCCAATATGTAACATCATGATAGATGGAAAGAAGTTGTCCGTGATCCATAATAAACTCTTGGCACCAGCAGTCAAGAAATCAAAAGACCCTTTCCTCGATTGCCACTAAGGTGCTTGGCTCTTCCAAGGAAGCTAAGGCTATGTTGGGTGAGGCTCTCACTTCATCCAGCACTAAGCACCGTGCCTGGCAGCCATCAGCCTAGCACCATTGCACCACGACCTCTGTCTCTGAGCTCACCTGCATCTACTCAGCCCTCATTCTGCACAATGAGGTGACTGACCATCACAGAGAATAAAACCAATACCCTCATTAAGGCAACTGGTGTCAATGTTGACCCTTTCTGGCCAGGTCTGTCTGCAAAAGCCCTGGCAAATGTCAACATTGGGAGCCTCATCAGCAATGTGGATGCTGGTGGACCTGCCCCAGAAGCTGAGTCAGCACTGTCTGGAGGACCTGCCCTCGCCACAGCTACTGTTCTAGCTGAGAAGAAAGTGAAGCAAAGAAAGAAGAATCTAAAGCATCTGATGATGGAATGAGAGTTAGTCCTTTTGTTACAAGGTTCAAGGGGGGAAATAGCTGAACTCTTTAAAAAAAAAATCAAAAGACTTTTTATATTGGGCATTATCTGCTGTCACATTTTTAAGGCATCAAAGAGCAATGATGCCAGCATAAAGACTAAGGTACATCTGATTCAAGCCTTGGTCTTTTTAATTACTTATGTATCTGATAATTGGGCAATGAATGAATGATAATAAAAGAAATGATGCCTTTGAGTTGTGCTGTTGGAGTACTGACTATCCTGTGGACTGCCAAATGAACAAACACATCTTGAAGTACAACCACGGTACCCTTTGGAGGCAAGGATGGCAAAGCTCTGTCTCACTTATTTTGTGCATGTTGTTGTCCAATCCTTGGAAAAGGACAGCATGTTTGCAAAGGTAGGTCAGCCAAAGGAAGGAAGACCCTCAAGCAGGTGTATTGACACTGTCTGAAACAATGCATTCAAAGATATCAGAGATGTTGAAGATGGCACAGGATAGGGCAAGGTTCAGATCCATTGTTCACTGGGTTGCTGTTCTAGTTGACCCAATGGTCCCTAACAATACAACTGCCAAAATAGACGGGGTAAAGGGAAAGTAAACCTTTATATACCAAAGCTTGAGAATCAATGAAAAGGAGGAAGTCCCTCAACTAGGTGGATTGACAGTGGTGGCTGCAATCTAGGTTCACACACAGCACTGATCTGAAGGATGGTGCAGGGGAGGCTGCCTTTCATTCTATTGTACTATGGTTGCTATGGATCAGCGGTGAGTCAACAGTACCTACCTTAACTCATTGCTGAGTCAGAACTGACTCATAGCTGACCCTCCAGTGGGTTTTCAGAGGCTGTAACTCGCATGGAAAGAGACTGTCCATCTTTCTCCTGTAGAGAAGCTAGTGCATTTAAACCACCTGCCTTTGGGTTGGCAGAGTAAATCCTTACCCACTAGACCATCAAAGCTCTCTTCATAAAGGGATATAAAGCTCAATTTATACAACTCTTCCCACAATAGACTTTTCTGGCCCTAGATGAACATAGTGCCACCCTGTTGTTAGGTGCCATTGAGTACAACCCATAGCAACCCTATGAATAACAGATCTGAACACTGTCCTATCCTATGCCATCCTCACACTCTGACACACTAAAGCCCACTGTGGCAGTCACTGGGTCAATCCACCTGAATGAGGGTCTTCCTTTCCTTTAGCTGACCCTCTGTTTCCAACCATGTCTCTCTCCAAGGAATAACCTCTTCTAGCAACATCCTCAAACTATGTGAGACAAAGCTTTATCATCTTTGCCTCCAAGGAGCACTCTGGCTGCATTTTCTCCAAGACATACTTGTTCTTTTGGAAGTCCGTGGGACGTTTAGTACTCTTCTCCAACACAACTCAAAGGCATCAATTCTTGTCATCCTTAGTCATCATCCAGCTCTCAAGACTGTAACCTTAATTGAGGTTAAAGAAACCTCAGCTGTCTTGCCATAAAACCTCTATGGAAAAAGCTTAATTTGCAAAGAAGCCTTTTAATGACATTTTAATTCATGATTATTAAAACTAAGAAAATTGGAGTAAGCCAAGAAATTTTCGAACACCAGGAGTTCCTGACCCTTTCAAAGGAGAAATTCTTTCAGAATGTTCCAAATAGAAGTACTGGAAATATTACCACCTTATCAGGTTACTTATCCAGTTACTGGTCCCCTTGACTTTTACTATTAAAAACTCTCATTGCCATCAAGTCAGAATCAACTCTTAGCTGACTCGCCAGTGGGTTTTTAGAGGCTCTAAATCGCACAGAAAGACTGGCGGTATTTCTGTGGAGCAGCAGGTAATGGATTCGAACTGCTTTGCCTTTGAGTTCACAGTGCAACTCCTTACTATTTGGTTACCACAGCTCTCTACTTTTACTATTAGAATTTGGAAAAGAGCTTAGCTTTTTCTTTTTCTTCTATTTTTATTGTGTGTGTCTGAACCGTCAAATCAGATCTGACTGGTACAGGAGATTTCTCCTCCTCTGGCAGAGCATCTGGTGGATTCAAACCGCTTATCTCTGGGATTGCAGTGCAGCTTCTTGCCACTAGGCCACCAGAGCTCCTTAAGAGCTTAAACTTATAATCAGTAATAGGCATGTTTCACTAATTTGCGCTATTTCAGTTGCTTCATATATATCTGCAAGTTGGACAATGAATTAGGGAGACTGCAGAAGTGATGCACTGTAATGTTGGTGAATATACCACGGACCACCAAAAGAACATATCTGTCTTGGAAGTTAAACCAGAGAACTCCTTATTGTCTTAAATACTTTGGGCATTTATCAGCAGGAGCTAGTCCCTGGAAAAGAACATGTTTGGAGAAAGAACAAGTTGAAGATCTTTCAGGATGGATTGATGCAGTGACTACAATGGCCTTAAGCAGATTGTGAGGATGGTACAAAATCTGGGATGGTGTCATTCTGTTATGATCCAACAGCCAGCAAGACAGCATTTAACAGTATATATTCACAATTCCCCAAACATTGCATCCCTTTGCATTCCCATGCTTTTGCACAAGGTGTTCCTTGTTGCAAAAAGCCTATGCTCTCCTATTCCTCTTCCAAATTAAAATGTCACTTCCGTAACTTGGCTGTTTTTTCTCTTCTGTTTTCACTGTTTCATTTTTAAAAAGGGAAATTTTTTTTTTCTTAGTGCTACCTCAAAACCAAGTACCAAGAGAAACTAGTTGGACTCTAGCATTCTTTTTGTTTTAGCCTCTCTCATGATGTAGACATTTCTTGTAAACTGGATTCCTTGTTATTATAGCATCTCAAACAGCCCTAGAGGCACAGAAGCAGCAAACAGCAAAACCAATTCATTCCACCAGAGAGCTAAGCAGCATTTAGCCCAAAAGCTTAGTTCTGAATTGGCACCAATTGTTATAGGAGTGGCTTCCCAAATTCAAAAACAAGGACAAAGTGGCAGGGAAGTAGTTTACTTGGTGCCTGCTGTAACCAACACACTAATGAAGTTTTAGCTATCAGCCAATATACAGATTTTAAGAGAAACTACACCAAGTTTTCTAGTAGAACAAAGGTGATAGGAAGTTAACAAAGAGCTAATCTAACAATTCTGCCTGTTCCCTACCACTTATGACAGGTTTTTCACCCGAGTTGTCTAGTTTATGTTGATTTTTAAAACCAAAGCCAGTCCTGTGTTTTCTTGCTCATGGATTATCACTCAGCCCTTTAATACCTCACACATACTGATATCTACCTTGAGCGTGTCAGCCAAGATGGTCTAGAGTTCTGGTGGCCTAGTGGCACTGACAACGCAAAGGCAAGTGGTTCAAAATCCACCAGCTGCTCAAAGGGAGAAAGAGGGACAATTTCTTCCCATGTGATTTATAGGCTTTGAAAACCCTCTGGAGGGTAGCAATGACCAACTCGAGGGCACATAAAGTTTATTAAAGACCAAACTTTAATAATTAACAGTTAGCTACAGGTTCCATTCATGCTACCACCACAGTGAGAAATCTAAAACTTAAAGCTGATTATATCTTTGGATACATAAAAACAATATATATTAAAGTGTACCACAAAGTGCAAACAAAGGAGGAGGGAGGAGGTGAGGCAGTCAACAGAGAGCTCTTGACAGAGGAAGTAGCAGAAGGCTGATTGATTGTCCTAACAGGGCACAGAAACTCCTTCTGGAGTTCAGTCCTGGGAAATGAAAATTGTCTTGGCCAAAAAGAGGTCCAGACATGAGTTTTAGTTTGATATTAAAAACAGTCAAAGGCAACTTTCCCATTGCTGATGTTAGATCTGGCACCAAAGGGAAACTGTGGCTTATTTTTTTGGACTTAGATTGAGCAAACAAGTGGGTAAACAAGAAAGGAGGGACATCTAGCCGGTAATTCTGACTCCAGGCCGAAATCTCTGCAACCGAGCCCTGAGCTCTTCAGGCAGGATGGCCTGGAACTGCTCCCGCACCAGCATTTCCACAATCTGCTCCTTCGTGTGGATGTCAGGTCTCAGCCACTCCATCGCCAGATCCTGCAGATGTTGAAATACATCCCTGGGCCGAGCTGCCTTCTCATAGCGGAACTGTCTGAACCTCTGCAGGGAGGCTCCAGGGTTGGGGGGATTCCTTCGTGGGATGGTTTCAAGATCCTTGACAGAATCATCTTCTTCCAGGCTGTTTGATGGGAGCCCTGCAGGCTCTAAAGAAAACTGGACCTGGGGTGCTGGTATTAGGACTTCTGGCTCCTCAGCCACCAACATGGCTGTTGGTGACGCTATTTGGTCACTGTGAACTTCTTTCCCATTTCCTTTTGTCCCTGGGTTTCCTTCAATCTCCATTCTGGAATCCTGGGAAAGAATGTCTCAGATACCTAGGCACAAAGACAAATCAAGATCAGCAAAATCAGTTCACTAAGGCCATTACGGCCATGCTGATCTCATGGACCCAGTCCAGAACAAAGTACCATTCAGCTTTCTCATCTTAGGAAGATTTCTTTAAACATTTTTGTTGCCGGCAATTTCCACACAAAACAGACTTAATAACTCGTGCATATTAAGTGACAATGATTACTTTCAACAACTCTCACTCTTCTAAATTATTCCTCTATCTCACTATTTCCAAAGTTCCTTTTCTAACTTTTTGCATTGTTACTGTCAACTTGTCTGGGTTTCTTTTTTTTTTTTTAATTCTTTTTTTTTAATGTTTATTTTTTATTTTATTATTTTTGTGTGAGTGTACCATCAAATCAGATCTGACTGGTACAGGAGGAGACTGCCCCTCCTTCCCTGGCAGAGCATCTGGTGGATTCGAACTGTGCGCCTCTGGGATTGTAGTAGCAGCTCCTTGCCACTAGGCCACCAGAGCCCCCCACTGTCTGGGTTTCTTAATAAAGCTATTAGAAATTCTTTGGTTTCCTTCCTTCTTGCTGGAGCAAAACTTCAGAAAAGTGAAAAAAAAAATTTATCAAGGGATACCTAAACGGGATATGTAGAATCTCAAGAATGAAGAGCACTGGCTTTAGTAGCTAGAAAACCTTTTATCTATTTTTGCCCTGTTAAGAATCATGTCAGAATTGCAGAATTTAACAGAACAGCAATCAACAAATTCTGGCGAGGATGTGGAGAAACTGGAAGCCTTATTCACTATTGGTGGGTGTGTAAAATGGTGCAACCACTGTGGAAGGCGTTATGGCGCTTTCTCAAAAAGCTGCAAATAGAGATACCATTCGACCCAGCAATTCCACTACTGGGAATATATCCCAAAGACACCATAACTGACATCCAAGCAGATATATGCACACTCATGTTCATCACAGCTTTGTTCACAATAGCAAGGAGTTGAAACAACCCAAGTGCCCATCAACGAATGGATAGAGAAGCTGTGGTATATTCACACAATGGAATACTATGCTGTACTGAAAAACAAGGAACTCATGCAATATTATTCTAAATGGGTGACCCTGGAGGACATTATGCTGAGTGAAGTATCTCAGTCACAAAAGAACAAATACGGTGAGCTCTGGTGGCCTAGTGGCAGGAAACTGCACTACAATCCCAGAGGTACACGGTTCAAATCCACCAGATGCTCTGCTGAAGAGGGAGGAACAATCGCCTCCTGTACCAGTCAGATCCAATTTGACGGCACACACATAAAAAGAAATTAAAAAAAAAAAAGGACAAATACTGCATGGTGCCACTGTTGTAAAGCAGGCCTGACTCAGGGTTGGGAGGAGACCAAGGATGAGTTCAATAATGTATACTGCATTGAAACAGATGAGGGAGAAAACAGTTTAAGAGGGAAAATTATTAGGTATTTTTGTCATGACGGGAGTCCAGAGTGAACGCTGTATAGTACAGTGGACCTGGGGGGAGGGATTGTAAAACAATGAAAGAATTTTTCTTTTACTTTCCCAAGAGGGTATTGTACTAGAGAGGAGGGGAGAAAAGTACAACAATGAATGAATGGAAATCCAAAGTCTGTAAATTTTCCTTGAAATTAATTAATTAAAAAAAAAATCATGTTAAAACCAAGAAAGTATATAGGCAAATAATCTCTGGAGGGAGGAGACCCCCTCCATAAGTCAGGCATTTTTTATGCAACATTTGATGTGTCCTAAAGAAATTTAGGAATACACAAAACAATGTATGAAAAGGCACTGAAACAGAGGCTATTCCTCTATCACTCTGTAGTCTTTTCTACCTCTCCCTGCTTCTTTATTGGTGAAACAATGTCAAGTGTTTAAAACTACTGTAGGAGCTACTATAAGTAAGTGGCACAAAGGGTTACGTGCTCCACTACTAACTAGCAAAAAAAAAGTTTCTGGATCCACTTTGGAAGACAGATCTGGTATCTGCTTTCCAGTCCAAAACCCCTAGAGAGCAGTTGTACTCTACACATATGGTGTTCTCATGAGTCAGAAGGAGCAATTAACAAGGCATTAAAGAGTTGTTGTGTATCATCTAGTCAGAACTGACTCAAAGCTAACCCTCCAGCAGGTTTTCAGAGGCAGTAAATCTCAGGTGGAGAAGTTGGTCATTTGAACCATGTGCCAACCTAGAAAAATACTTTTGAAAAGTCAATCAGTGAAAACTCTGTCACAGTCTATTCTGCCTGATCGTGGGGATACAACAGGACCAGGCAGTATTTTGTTATACTCTGTAGTCAAGAAGCCTGCTTCACAGCAGCTAACAAAAAGGATGGAATCTAAAGCCTTTTTTTTTTAAAAAAAAAAAGCCACCTGTATGTTAAGGTCAAGATCTTACAACCTTCTGTTCAGTCTATTAATTTACCAGGATTCATTCTAGTTATGCAGAGCACTGAACTCTAGATATGTCAGTTCCTCTTATTAGTTGCAAAGGATTATCAAATAAGGGTTTGAAGGAAGGAGAAATGAAGTAGATTTGGGAGTGGGGTAAGATGAGGGAGACTCCAAGTCCAGATAAAGGGTTATTTATAGAAGCATCACATCTTGGTTTAAAAAAAGACAACTCACTTCTTCAAATGATAGAAATGACTAAATTCTCACTTCAGGCTATTCTGACACTCACAGGTACACTGACAACTAATCAAAGGATATGCATGACATAATCTCTTTTTTCAAGGGTATTTTTTTCATTAACATCCCAAAAGAAATCATACTTTTTCTGCCCTACCTCGTAAGTACTGACATTTAAACTGATACACCTCACTTGCTTCCTGAGCAACATCCTATAACAATCAAGCCAGCAGTGAGCAGCTTTCCTGCTTTACTAGTTCCATGCATCTGGTCACCTCTCTAAAAAAAAAAACTCCCTACTATTTTCTAGGATCCTTGAATTTATTCAAAATTGTATGGCTTGGATATTCATGGATACACCAGTTCTCGTGTACCTGGGTATGCTTGGGTTTTTGTTAAGAGATTGTTCATTTCCAAATTTAAGTAATTATTAATATAGGATAATGAGGACAAAAACAATATTCACATAACTCAAGGATTCCTTTAGGAAAAAAAAACCCAAACCATTTTTAGTCCAGGAAAGACTGGCTGAACCATCATGGGAAATGGAAATCTTGGGAACAACCCAAGTGACCATCAATAGGAAAATTATGAAATCAGATATGGCCTAGTCACTTAACAGAATACTGTGAAGCCTAAAAAGCATATTTAAGTTGTAAAGTTAGTATTAACCAGATGCTCCGCTGGAGGAGGAGGGGCCATTTTCTCCTGTGCCAGTCGGATCAAATTTTTTTTTATAAAAAAAAAGCTCTGGTGGCCTAGTGGCAAGAAGCTGCGCTTCCATCCTGAAAGTCTGTGGTTCAAATCCACCAGAAGCTCGGCTGGAGAAGACAAAATAGTGCCTCAAGAGCCAATTGGATCTGATTCGGCGATAAATGAGGAAAAACAACCCCAGAACCAAAACCCACCATATGTACACAAACATTTATGGCTTTTGATCTCCACAATGCTGGAAAGATGGAGGAAAATATAGCAGTTGCCCCCACGCCTAGTCACTGAGAAACCTAATGGTTTCAAGGGCGGCCAGGACAAAGACCTGAACAAACAATATATCATGGTACCTGGGCCTGATCAGAAAGTTCCGACCTGAGTTAATGAACAGCCCCAAATTCCAAGAGGTCCCATCGTCCCTAGTCCTCCCCAAGAACCCTATAAAAAGAGATTATCCCTAATTGTGGGCGCGCCTTTCTCCGCCATTCTTTCTCCGTTCTGTTCGTTGCTTGGGACCAGTCTCTTTCTTTCACCCTTTTCTAACAAAAGGTAATCTAAGGAAACAATTGCTTTAGTTTCCAAGGATAAGGAACACAGAAGAGGGAAACCATTATTGTTATCTTTCAATAGTTTCCCTCCCCCAAAAAAAACCACAAACATGCATTACTTTCGAAACAACTCAAGCTGGAGAAAAATTTTCAGGCTTTCCCTTCCTGCCCACAACACTTCTGTGTGAAAACCCCTAACACGGGTGGGGGGGGGAGGGGGGAATACCCTTTTATTAATTCTGCTAATGCACAATACTTTTGGTCCTTCAAAATTCCAGCTTCCAGCAATAGTCTAAATTATCAATCAAGGTTTGCTCTGAAAAAACGAACCAGCTTTAAAAGATTGGTGGCACTGAGGTGGAATCGACTCATTAACTGAGCTTCCCTTGGCTTTTCCGAGGCTGTAAATTGCATGTCGTGCAGCTGGAGCATTCAAACCACCGGAGAGGTGCCGGGCGGCTGCACATCAGCAGCGAAACTCTCTACCTTCTAGGTCACCTGTGCTCTCGATTGATAGTTTTATCTATTTTCTTCCCTGCGATACTATTAGCCTCGAGTCTCTACAGCCCTGGCTGTTAACAGTGGCAGATGCTCCGAAGCGTTCCCTTATCCAAACCGCCCAGGAACCCTGCAGGGCGGAAACTGTCCTTTTCATTCAGAAACACGCAGATCAGGGAGTGGCTTGGCCCAAGGTGACTACAAGGTGGCAAAGGAATCCTCAGATTCTGGGTGGGGAGCTAAACTCGACTAGACCGGCGCAGTCGGCGTCAGGGGTGGAGGGGCTCAGGCCAGACCGATGGTCAAGGTGGGGTCTGAAAATGGGGCTTCAGTCTGAGTATCTCCACCTCCGGGGCCACAGCAGCCCGAGAACCAGCACAGCCACGGCCACAGCTCCCCGCTTCCGGGGCCGCTGCAGGGAAGGAGGCTAGAAGGGGAGAGGTCACCTGCGCAGGTACCGCTTCGGAGGGCGGAGATGTCTCACCCAAGCACCTGAAGCCGGAAAAGGGGATACCAGCACCCCGCCAGGCGGCTTTGTACCGTGCAGCCGGAACCGGAAGCCCTATCTCCCACCCGGAAGTTGTGC